AAAAAAAAAAAAAAATTGTAGTGAAAGAATTCTTGCTTTCCAAAGTTCAGAGGTCTTTCCCCACCACTTTCAGATCCCACAGATCAAATTTAATTTTCACGTCTAGATGCTAGCATTATTAGCATTGCTGTCTAAATCAACATCCCCAGTTGGAGACGTTTCGATTCAGAGGAGCCTACTACTGAACTTTTCCAGATGTCGTGCAGCACTTCTGTTCCCCCTGTGCTGTTTCACTTGTCTTCTCTTGTAGGTACTGCTTCTCCGAAATGGCCCCAGTATGTGCAGTTGTTGGAGGGATCTTGGCACAGGAAATTGTGAAGGTAAAAAGTCGCTGGAACAGAAGAGAGCTGACCCACTGCATTATAATTTCATACATGTGCCGACAGGAGAGCCGAGGACTGTCTTAGAGAGCTGCCTGTTTTCTCTGACCCTGCAGATGCTCATGCTATGCCCTTCCCTTCCCACACCATCCCTTCTGTCCAGCACAGTGAAATGACTGCTTATCAAATGCCCTTTGATTGCTCCCACTAAGCCAGAGCTGGACACAGTGCCTTTAAGGTTCCATCTGCCATCCCCAACTCTAATACATATTTTAGTTATCCAGTGTCTGTTGTATCTGTCAGGTGCTCTGCTTCTCACAGCTCTGAAATGGGCACTATTGTGATCCTCACTGAAGAGGAAGACACTGAAGCTCAGAAAGTGGACTCTAAAACCCACAGTCTTTCTTTTTTTTTTTTTTTTTTTTTAAGAAAACAAGAAATCACCCCCCAGAGGGGATGGCCATACTGAAATCTCTTCTCTATTCTCCTCCTGGGATCTTGGACTTGCATGTACATGCACCTGGCATGAACTTCAAGCCTCCTGGTCCAGGACTTGAACTGCGGTCAGCCATGTGGGAGTCCAGCAACATAACCACTACACCATCTGCTGGTCCAAGTCCCACATTCTTAACCTCTGCTTAGCAGAGTTGCTCTTCACCCCGTGTCATTACATCAGAGACCCATATTTTTTTTTAAAGGAATTGTTAATTTAATTTTGTTTATTCATTCATTTATTTCAATTTGACTAGAGAGAGGTCCAGAGAGAATGAGGGAAAGTGAGAAAGTAAGCCACCAGCTCCAGGACTCCAGCCGTGGTCAGCCATGTGGAAGTGTTCAGCGCCTTAACCACCAGGCTACCTGCTGGTCCTCAGAGCCCCATATTTTAACTCAGACACCAAGGTGTTTATAGAGAAGAAGGAAAATCAGTCTCTGTGGAACACACGCCTCTATGCCAGGAGCCCACAAGGCTCTCCAGGGTGATCCATGGCCGGGCTAGGTAGCTGCTGTTGTCTCTCTCAGAAAGAAGTATCTTATGCGGGCTCTCATAACCAATGCTCAAACTGTAGTACACCCCCAAATATATTTTACATTTTTTTGGAGACGTTGATATTTATCCAGAGGTGTTAAATTTGCCTCTTACAGGTTCCTGACAGTTCTCAGGGCAGTGTGCCTGGCTAAATGATTTCCCACCTCTCCGTACATACTGAGTTTAGTTAGGGGTCTGCACATTTGCTCTGGAGACCTAAGTCTCAATATGAGAGTCCTACCCTTCTCCTAAAGATACTTTTCTTTCTGTCTTTGCTGATCTTCTCCCTGGACTAAATTCTCCCTCTGTCCAGTGTCCAACCTACGTCTGTGTGGTAGGCAGCAGGGGCTGTGGGGACGAGAAGACTGCCATGTTCTGCCTGTTCCCTTGCTTACACCTACAGCGCAGCCTAGACTGACATGAGAACCTCGGTTTCTAGGCCTCATCTGAGAACTTGGTGGTAGCTGCCCAGAGGCTCTGCTGAGAAGGATTGCAAGGGCGCTTGTAGACAGACTTGGTAGGAAAGAGGGATAGGAAACTCGTAAAGAGTGATAGGAAACTCGTAAGGGGCATGAGAGACCATTCTTATTTTGCAGCCTGTAAGGAATTTGGCACCACCATTGATAGCAGTAGATGGCATTTATTGAATATCCACTACAAACCACACACAGACCATGTTCCTTGCATGAATAGACTCATCTAACAGCAGCCAGTGAGGTAGGTGCTGCATGATTCCTGATTTATAAAGGAGTGGAGGTGCAGGGAGGTCATGTTCTTGCCCAAACTCGTAAGTGGTGGAGCTGATAGCTGAGCCCAGGTAGTCTGGTTTCTGAGCTGTGTTCCTTGGTGGTTGTGCCTCGGGTGTTACCCTCATCCAGAGACTTCATGAACCCCTGGACCACTGCCCCTGCACCCTCAGCCCCGACGTCTGTATGTGAGAAGCTGCTCCCAGAGTTTTCCATGTGGGATAGAAATTAGAGGTCAGGGCAGGTGGCCTTGACCCTGTTTGCGGTGGCTACCGTGCATCCCAGCCTAGCTCAGCTCTCTCTTTCCTGCCTGCTGGGGACAGCTGTTGCCCCGCATCTTGTTTCTGTTTATCCCAGAGAGTCAGAGTACTCTGCATTCTTGGTTGCTGGGTGTGTTTGGAATCTCCTACCCCATCTTGCTTGGGAAGCACTTTACCTTTTGCCCCATGTTCACCCCCATGCCCTGCCCTCATCGCTGCCACTCCCCTTACTTATCGCAATGCCAGCCCTCAGCCAGCTGGCAGACTCCTCCTTCTCTTCTGAGGCACCATCTGATCATATATTAGAAGTCACCTTTGGGGCTGGCAGGTGGCGTGGTTAAGGGTGCTGGACTCCCACATGGCTGACCGTGGTTTGAGTCAACTTGGCAGCTTGCTTTCTCGCTTTCCCTCCCTCCCTCCCTCCCTCCTTCCTTCCTTCTCTCCCTCTCTCTTCCTCTCTTTTTCTCTCTCCCTCCCTCCCTCTCTCTCTCTTTCACGCTGTCCCTCTCTGGTCAAACTAAAATAAATAAATAAAGTTGAATAAAATTATTCATTAAAAAAATATTTAAATAAAAAGTCACCTTTGGGAGACCAGCAGATGGCCCAGTTACATCACTGTACTCCCACATAGCCAACCACTGTGCGAGTCCCAGACACAGTGACTTAAAGCTCATGCCAGGCACTTGTGCATGTGTTCCTAAAATCCCAGGAGGAGAATGGAGAAGGGATTGTGGCCAAAAAACAAACAAACAAACAAACGTCACCTTTAGGAGGTCGAGGACAGACATAAACAACTCTTTCCTTGAAATCATTTTTGTTCCTTCCTTTCTGAAGGATATATCCTTCAGACACCACATTTTATGTCCATGTCCACTCTCCAGGGCAGGACCCCTTACCTACAGCAGTAGAGGTGACCACCAGGTTCCATTTCAGCACCTGTCCTCTCGTGTGACTCAGGCTCCAGCCGGTGTTGGGCCCTGCCATCTGGCCAAGTGTGTGGCACCTGCAGGTGTTGGTAAAGAACCACTGGCCCCATTAGTAATAGTTGCTCTCGCTTATTGAGAGTTACTCTGTGCCAGGCATATTAGAAACCTTTCATTTTCACAAAACCCTCCAGCAGGTGCTATGTATTTGCTCTTTTTATATGTGAGTCCAGAATAGCAAACCTCTAATTCAGTGTGGGCAGGGACTGTCACAGTTCTTGGCACAGAGTTGGTACTCAGATCTTCCTTTGATAAATGCCTGACTAACCACTTGAGATAAATAAAAGCATTCCCATTTTACAGATAAGGAAACAGAATGAGGTTGATACTCTTAGGGGAAGTAGGATGTTTAGAGCCTGTCCCCTAGGAATGCTCCCAGGACCTAGGAAAAACCTACCCTGGCAGCTTGCTTCAGTGATGTCGTCTTTACGAGAGAGATTTTTACTATAGGGTACATGCACTTACAGAGAAAAATCACACACCCCCTTCCGGGGGGAATGGCCACGCTGCAGTCCCTTCTCTTCCATTCTCCAGTTGGGATTTTGGGTGCACATGCACCCAGTATGAGTTTTAAGCTATCGGGTTCGGGACTCAAACCATGGTCAACTACATGGGAGTCCAGTGACATAACCATTACTCCATCTGCCGGTCCCCAGCGATGTCCTCTTTAAATGGCAGCTTATGGTGACATTTCAACTATTTTTGAGTTAAGCACCTTTTTGAATATTCACTGGCACCTGTGAACCCTTTCCTCAGAAAAGGCATGTATATACTGATCCCCGTGTATCAGTAATTCCAAGTGTCTGGACCCCACCTCCACCTTAAAAGTGCTTCATCCTAGTAACCCACAATCTAGTTACTGCTCGCGTGGCTGATGGCTGAGTGACTCCACCAGGCCGTTGGGTCCCACCCGTGCTGACCTGTGGGAGGCTGGCAGCATGTATCTCTGGAGGAGTTGCCTTCTGTGTCAGCACGTGTCCCTCAGTTACATGGTCTCTTCCAGTGACAAAGAGTGTGGCCAAAGATGAGTTAAAATGGATTGTGGCCATTCTCAGTTGAGTGGGCATAATTATTTCTATTTACTCAGCAGGGCTACAGTGGGCTAGCCATTGTTTTAGATATTTTTGAAGTATGATACATTTGTTATTTTCAAATTACATGGGGAAAAGAAGGTTAGAGAGGTTAAATGATCTGCTCTAGGATAGGCACACAGCTGGTAAGGGGGACAGAGCAAAAGAGACATGAAAATCAAAATTATCTCTCCAGATATTGCCAAATAGCCCCTGGAGAGCAAAATCTACCCTGAGAGAGCCACTGCCTAGACTGCTTGTATTTATTTTATTTAAAGCATTTAAGTTGAACCACCTCTTTCTGTTTTTCTTCCCAGGCTCTGTCCCAGAGGGACCCTCCTCACAACAACTTCTTCTTCTTTGATGGCATGAAGGGGAACGGGATTGTGGAGTGCCTTGGCCCCAAGTGAAGCTGAACTGGGCCGCCCCAGAGATGTTGACCCACAGAGTGCCTGTGCCCACCCCAGCCATCCTTCCACAAAGGCGTCTCCCCACGCGATGTTCCGAGCGAGCAAGGAGGAGGCGGGGATGTGCTGCTTTCCATTCCAGCACTGCTCAGGACTGTTGGCCACCCCAGGCCTGCCCGCTTGCCTGAGTGCCGATCATTTCGAAACACCCCTTAACACCTCTGTCCTGGTGCCATCACGGCATCACCAGCCCTCTGGGGGATTGTTGGAAATGCCTGCCAGCAACCAGTGCACCGTGTTGCCTAGGAGCCCCTTCTTGGACTTATTCCCCGCCTGATGTCATACAGAGCAGGGCATGACTCCAGGTGGGGAATCAGGCCTAGGCCCAGTGAAACGCCAGTGGGACTGCAGTCCCACATTCAGACAGGTGCCCAAGAGAGGAAAAATCATGACAGGCGGCATGTATCCCTTCTAAAGTTTGAGATCCTGAAAACAACAGGTGGCATCTGGTGTGCTGTTCTTGAGTTTTAGTTTAGGATTAGTCGAGTTCCAGCCTGGATTTGGAAAGGGGAAATGTTACCAAGGCCTCTTGGATGTTAGGGCGAGACCTTGAAGGTTGAATGTCAGTGAGAGCTTATTTTCAAAAAGCGGGTGCCCTGGTCCCACTCCAGGGGCTTCTTGGCCAGGACAGAAGAGCCAGCCCTTGTAACAGAACCCAGTCTGTGTTGACCCTGCTGGAGGCTGTGTCGTCCCTTCAGTTACTCCCTGTTGCAGTTTTTTGTATTTTACATATTTTCTAATTCTTCCTTGGTTCTTTAAAAAGGAATAATAGAAATAAAGGTTTTTGCTTTAGCATTTGCTTTTTTTTTTTCTTTCTTTCACTTTAGAAACTTATGATGAGGGACCAGCAGTTGGCATAATGGCTATGTCGCTGGACTCCCATGTCGTTCACCGTGGTTCAAGTCCCAGACCTGGTGGTTTAAACTCACACTGGACGTGTGTGTGCGTGCATGCTCAAGATCCCAAGAGGAGAATGGAGGACAAGGGACTGCGGTGTGGCCATCCCCCCTGGGGGTGATTTCTTGCTTTCTGTCTTTCTGGCGAGCGCACGCGCCCTACAGCCAAAAAAAAAAAGAGTGAGAGAGAGAAAGAAACCAACCTATGATGGTGTGATCCTACCAAATGCCTTTCTAGACTTGAAGTACCACTTGATGCTCTCAATGACTTGATTCCTTCCCTTGGTCACCATTCCTGCCACTGTTTTCTGGGTAATGCAGCAAGAGTTAAGTGCTCCAGTTGAGAGTATCTAGCAAGTTCTAGTTGCAGTTGTCTGTTGAATAATTCCACTAAATAATGGCTGTTTTCAGTGGCAAGAATTAGAATAATGAAAAGGTAGTAAGACATGCCGCTGGTCCCGTCTGTTTAGATTTTCTGTGTGCCAGACATTGTGCAGAGTAAAAGTAAGTGATGGCCCATTTTAAAGTTAAGTGACACTGAAGTAATGTAGCACAAGTCCCTCAGCTGGCGAGGGTCAGAGCGTTCACGGGGACCCCGAGTGTGTCTCACCCCAGTAAGCTGTCGTGTTCCAGTTCACCTCACCCTTGCTCACATTTCTGGGTGATGAAAACCTGAGGTTTGACTGGATTAGTCCTTTTCCCCTTCCGACCCTGCAGTAATCAGTGGCGAAAGTGTGAGGAAGCAGGGCTCCATTGGGAGGCAGAACTCGGTTTCCTAGCCCTCAGTCACCCCTGTTGCCGCCCAAGGTGAAGTTGGGGCTGCATTTCGGAGGGGATCCCTTTTTGGACACCATTAGTGCAGCCAGTGGCCAGGGTCAGATTTATAGCTGCATGAAATGCAGGGTCTTTGAAATTTTGAGCTAATTACACACCCTTGACTTTGCCATGCGTGCCTTTGGTCACAAGGGGGAGCAGGTGGGCCTGGATGGATTAAAGACAAAATTGTGGAATCTCAAGCTTTTCAAACTTTTCTTCCCTATACCTCTAATGTTAGAGATTAAGTCACTCAGGAAAGACCCCTTGAGAATTAGGGTGGGGAAGGATAAAGGCTAGTGCTTGAAATATCTCTAGTTGGGTTCCTCCACATTAATATGCTGATGTATTATGCTTTGTATTATCATAAAGATGCTTTTCTCTAGCCAGGCACGGTACTCACCAGTGTCCCAGCTGGGAACATGAGGCAGAAAGATCAACACATAGCAAGACCCAGTTTTGAAAAAATAGTTTTTCTAAACCAATTCTCCAGGAAGACATACAGTGGTTATCTTGTGTGTTCTCGCTCCCCTGAGATTATGCAGCCCTCTAGGGAAGAAGGGTTCATCTATCTGCAAAGGCAGCAAATGCTTCTGGATGGTGGAGTTACCAGATGAAAGGAAAATGACCTCCCCTTGAGGCTGCCAGCTTTCTCTCTGCCACACTCCTGATGTCTCTGGTATGTGTTGTAGCCAAGCTACTCAGCGCTTAGTGCATTGGGGCCCTTGGAGCCTCAGGTGATTTGGGGGGGCAGGTACTATTCAAGTCACAGACTAAGTGAAAACTTGCACCAAACAACCAGAAATTCTTAGTTCTATTACAGCCCTACACTTTATGGTTTCTCTTTGCATCGCAGACCCTTTTGTTTGGGTAGATGTAAATATTTGTGTGCCTATTGATGTATGACCTCTTAGCCCCTTTTAGGTATGGACGTAGAGACTTCAGTTGCAGTTGGCAAGTCAGAAGAGTTTAGTAATAACAGCCATCGTTTGGGGCCAGCAGGTGGCTAGTGGTTAAGGCGCTGGACTCCCTTGTGCAGACTACGGTTTGAGTTCAGACCTAGTGGCTTGAAAATTATACTGGATGGGACCAGCAGATGGCAAAATGGTTATGTTGCTGGACTACCATGTGGATGACCCCAGTTAAGAGTCCCGGACCTGGCAGCTTGCTTTCTCACTTTTCCTCTCTGTCCCTCTCTGGTCAAATTTAAATAAATAAATAAAGTTGAATAAAAAATCTTTTTTTTTTTTTTTTCATTTTTTAAGAACCATTTAACTTTATTTTAATTCAACAGAGTGTCAGAAAGATTGAGACAGGTCTGGGACTTGAACCACATTTGGCCATGTGGGAGTCTAACGCCCCTAACCACCAGCCTACTGGCCCCAATAAAATCTTTTTAAAAAAATAAATCCCTGGGAACCAGCAGTTAGCGTAATGGCTATGTCGCTGGACTCCCACGTAGTCCACCGCGGTTCATGTCCCGGACCCGGTGGCTTAAAACTCACGCCGGGCGCATGTGTGTGCGTGCCCAAGATCCCGAGAGGAGAATGGAGGAGAAGGGATTGCGGCGTGACCATCCCCCCTGGGAGGTGATTTCTCGCTTTCTGTCTCTATGTCTTTCTCTGTCTGTCTGGCGAGCGCACGCGCCCTACAGTGAAAATCTCTCCAAAAAATAAATAAATAAAATAAATCCCTGGAGGAGACTGAAGAAGGGATGATTGCAGCATGCCATCTCTTCTGAAGGTGGTGATTTCTCACTTTCTGTCTGTCTGGTGAGCACACATGCCCTACAACAAAAATCCCTCAAAAAAAAAAAATAATAATAATCATGCTGGGCACGTGTGCATGCATGCCCAAAATTCTGAGAGGAGAATGGAGGAGAAGGCACTGTGGCATGGCCATCTCCCCTGGTGTGAAGGGGGAGCTTTTAACTTTTTGTCTCTGTCTCCAGTGAGCTCATGCAGCCTATGACAAAAACCTTGCAAAATAATAATAATAATCAACATTCATCATGCCCCTCCTGTCTGGTATCCTTAAAAATACTTTATTTTTGTGTGTTTTGTATTTGTTTTTAAGAATTGTTTATTTCGGGACCAGCACTGATAGCATAATGGCCATGTCGCTGGACTCCCATGTAGTTGACCGCAGTTCACTTCCCAGACCCGGCGGCTTAAACTCACGCTAGGCGTGTGCGTGCGTGCCCAAGATCCCAAGAGGAGAATGGAGGAGAAGGGATTGCGGCGTGACCATCCCCCCTGGGAGGTGATTTCTCGCTTTCTATCTCTCTCTCTCTCTTTCTGGCGAGCGTACGTGCCCTATAGCAAAAACCTCTCCAAAAAAAAAAAGAATTGTTTATTTCATTCCATTTGTTGTTAATTATTTTTTAATTTGGTCAGAGAGAGAGAAAGGGAAAATGAGGAAGCAAGCCACATGGTCTGGGACTCAGATTGTGTTTGGCCATGTGGGAATCCCAGTGCCTTTAAGCACCATGCCACCTGCTGGCCCCCCTTTCAAATACTTGTAATTGCTTGAATCTCCACCTCAGCCTCATGGAGGTAGATGCTGTTGTCATGCCCCTATTGCTGGTCAGGAAATGGCCTTGGCCCACAAGGTGAGGGGCAGCATGGAGGCTGGCAGGAAAGGCTTCTGTACTGGACACTTAGGAATATCCTTTTAGCAGCTCTGCCTCTTGTTGACTCAGAACAAAAGAGACTTGGGCTTTGCCTTCACGAGGCCCTGAGACTTGGTAGTTACCAAAAAATACTCCGGCCAAGGTGCTGGAGGAAGACTTCCATCTGGGTTCAGAAGGGCAGGTCAATTTTGTTTTTAAGCTTATAAGACATGTGAGCAGTATACAAGCACATCAGTGAAAGGCCTCTCCGCTGCATCCTGCTGCCACTGCTCAGATTTCTACATGTGGACAGCTGACTTCACCGCTAACCCTGGGGTTTTGTAGGGAGACATGAGATGCTCTTTGGACACGTTAGCCGTATCCACTTTTCTGTCCACTCCCCAGAGATCAGCCCTGTAACTGTTTCAGAAAGTGAATCATCCTTCCAGATTTCCAGGTTCTAACCAGGTTCTACAGTTTGGCTGTTTGACCTTGGGCAAGTGACCCTTTTCGTACTTCCTCTGTCCCCTCTGTAAAATGAAGATAATAGCATATTCCTCCAATATACATGGCTCAAATTCATTCATTCTTTGATTAAAAATCGCTCAGTGTTGGGACCAGCAGATGGCGTAAAGCTTATGTCACTGGACATAGTTGATCACAGCTCAAGTCCCAGGCCCAGCGGCTTAAAACTCATGCCATGTATGTACATGCCCAAGATCCTGAGAGGAGGATGGAGACCGGATTGCAGCATGGCCATCCCCCCTGGAGGGGTGATTTCTCACTTTCTGTCTCTCTGGCAAGCCGACACTGCCCTATGGCAAAAATCTTGAAAAAAAAAAATTGCTCAATGTTAACTGCTATTATGCATATTCATAATAACTATTTTTCTGAAACTTGTTTTTTTCTTCATTATGTCTGGGAGATCCTTATCAGTCTATCAGAACCATAGAGCCTGGCTCGGCGGCACATACCTGTACTCCTAGCTACTCAAGAGACTGAGGCAGGAGGACCCTGACTTTGAGGTCAGCACGGACCACGTAACACTAACTTGTCTCGAAATAGGACACAGAGCCTTCAGGTGGCATGGTGGTTAAGGTGCTGGACTCAGATGGCTAACTGTGGCTCAAGTTCCAGACCTGGCAGCTTGCTTGCTCTCTCTCTCTCTCTCTGGTCAAATTGAAGAATACTAATAATAAATAAAATTAAATAATTTTTAATAATTAGGGCTGGCAGGTGGCATGGTGGTTAAGGGCACTGGACTCCCACGTGGCCAACCACATTTTGAGTCCCAAACTGGGAGGCTTGCTTTCTCACTTTCCATCTTTCTCTCTTGCTCTGTCCCTCTCTGGTCAAATTAAAGTAAATAAAGTTAAATAATTATTTTAACAAATAATAATTTTAATAATTAAAGAATTAAAAAAAAAATACTAAGAAAGGGCCAGCAGGTTTCGTGTAGGTTCAGTCACTGGACC